AGATATATATGCTTAGAATGGTAGAATCGTGATAAGGGAATCAAGTGTTTCAAATCTTGATTGTGAGTACCCTATGATCACATCTGGTAGCCATTCTAGAAACGTTCATATCCTTAGTATTATTCTAACCAAGAGCACATATAATAAAATAAGGCTATCATAATGTTGAACGACCCTACCAAAATGTAGTGACAGATCTCACATGTCAAAATTATTTGGTGTGATACATAAGTGCTTGTTGTTTGCAAGTTCACTGGACTGATCTACTAGAGGATTTCATATGGATGGTAACCACAGTGTCTATGGAATACACCCTCTAATGGATGGTGGTGCATGTGATCCTTAGACTTGAGGTCACCAGAGCATCGTGTTTAAATACTAGTGTAGTTTAACGCTAGCCTAATGTAGTCCTATTCATGATTATCAGTACGGTGGTAGTTGGCTACATTGAAAAGTACACTATAGCTATGGTGGATCAACAAATGACTCATCACTCTTGGGTACCGGAGAAGTTATCTCACGGAGGTATTCGGTTTAATGGCAACAACCATAAATCTGTGGCTATGGTAGAATTTAGTTGTTACTCAAATCCAATTTTGTTTGGTTGTTGGTCTGATAACCGAATGCCAACATATCAAGGAAATATATATTTGAAGTTAACACTATTTCTGTATTTCAACCTTGATGGGATAACAGTTGACGAAGGGATTGGATTGCATAGTAACCATATCATTGACAGGTAGCTATTTCGCTGAATCTCTATCTATTCGATAAACATGATACCTTGCTAGAGGCCAATTTTGGCTTTTGTATGGAGAGCTGATTAGTTGATGCTTAACTACGATTTCATTCACTGCCAACATGAAATGAGCCTATGGGTCAAACACTTAGAAGACAATTTGAGGTAAATAATATTTTGGGGGCATTTTCATCTTTTTAGACGAATGAATATTTTGGTAATTTCATCGAGCAATTAAATTTACTGAGGTTATAGCCTATTTCCATGGTATTGGAATTAATTTAGCAAAATTATAATTATAATTATTAGAATTAAATTGATATTAATATTAATAATAAAATTGAAGTATTATTCTATTATACCTAGGAATAGGGTTATTCCTATTCTGGGGTGGATTAGGGTTTTAATTATGCTATAAAAGCATAATTAAAGTTAGGGTTAGTGTGAATTTTTAACCCTAGCTGATTCTTGAAAAGGGAGGACAAAAATCCTCTCAAAATTCAGCCCCAATCCTTGAAAGAAATAATGTTTTCTAGCAAATAGATTATTTGTGTGATTGTGTTCTTGCCTTTGTGTGGATATCGTGTGTGCGATTTTCTAGTTGAATCGATTTGCGAAACTAATTTAGAGTAAACTGAAGGACCCTTCAATCCCAGGTATAAAATTAATCCTTTAATTGTAATGTCATTCAATCATACGTATTATCATCCATGATTTTTGGTTTAGGTTTTGTCAAATTTTTTTTTTTTTTTTTTTCCACACGTGTTTCGAAGAATCCTACAACATGTGCATGTAGATCATAGGACTATACTAACTTATGTAATACCCTATCAAATTTGTATTATAAGCAGAAAATATATTGATATCATACATGATTTGAATGATTAAGACATTAATCTTATCTCAGGTGTTCGTTATATATATATCTATATATATATATATATATATATATATATATTCATATTCAATATTTTCTTAGTAAGAGACTCTAAATGCCCAAAGTGGTCGTACTCGAAATAATTTTAATTTTTCCATGTTTTTTCTAGATTTGTTGTGTGTTATCTATTCGTACACTTGTACTAATGAACCATTAACAAACATTCATTGAATTGATATTTTATTACCCTTTCATTGACACCAATCTCATGATTGCTAATTGCTAATTATATATAGAGCTAGTTATTAGTTTGTAATACAATAATGTTAAGTCTAACAACATTCTCTCTAATCCTCTACAATGGTTCGTCATTGATTGATTCGTAATAGGTAGATGAAACTCGTACAAGCAGACATGACCTCTTTTGTGAGTTAACCAATAACAAACTGTCACATCAGAGAGTTGTGAGATTGAGTTGTTAGTAATTGAATCAATTCTCTAGAACTTGTCCTGGATTTGATTAATCACTTTCTCGTCAACTTGGAAAGCCTTCGCGAGAATCACACTTGAAATGTCAGGTTTTGAACCAAACACCGCATTGGCAATGGTAACAACTCCAGATCTTGGCTGCTGAGGGCTGAAATGGAATACGCATAACCAGGTCCAATATTTCTCTGGAAGTGAATAGACCAGCCGGAACACAAAAGATCACCCTTGTTGAGTACTTTCATAATCAGGGCGATTTTCAGGATTTGAAGTTCCGAATCCTGCAATCAGGGTGCCTTCCAGGACGGTTAAAATTTCACTGGCCCTGGATGATAATGGGAGGGTTGATTCCCAATGGAGCAAAATCGCACGAGCCACTGAGATGCCGAGAGTGTTGAGCCCTGGAACTCTATTCACAGTGATCCGGTTGGCGAAAGAACCGGAAGGATTTGATGTGTCTCCTCTCGAGTAAGCCACCGATGGGAATCTTCTGCTTTAACCAGCTTTGGATCCTTGCAAACAAAGCCATTTACCAGCACTGCCATGCACAGGGCAGCAAATGATCAGCATATAACTACTGAGAGCATAATTACTAGGACAATATATAATGAAAATTTTTATTATACATACTCAATCTTGGTATAGACATCATGAGGTTTTTAACGCGTGACCAATGATTGGACAACTATCTTCACATGTAAAATCAAAAGCCAACGCCCAATCACTCACCTTCAATCCACATGTTAAAATCTTCAAGATGTCTGCATCGAAGAATTTTTATATATCGGTAATTCCTAATCAAGATTATTCTAATATAATTGTATTAGATCATTCTTAGTACCATTAGATTTTTATTATAAAATATAATTTCTATCTAATGAGTGAATTCAACAATATTCAACTATAGTTCTTATAATTATATCAAACCATGTTAACTAAGATTTATGGTATGTGTGTCTATATATATAACATATTTTTTAAATTATGTTTAAAACACGCATTCAACTAGGTATGTTTTCATCTTTTTATATAGATCCTTATTTAGAAAACAAAGAATTATTATATTTTTACATCTAACCGGCATGGAACTCAAATGATACCTGGGCTGTCGAGGTCTGCGACGCAGAAATCCTGAAGAGGCTATGATCCGATGCAAATGCACAGAACAAATTAAAGAAATGAGTAATAACGGAGAATTCTGGCTGCCATTTGAAGCTAATGTTGTTTTATTGCTTAGCTATATATTCAGATTGGTTTGATGAATGAAGATGAAGAAATGCCATCTTTTTTAGGTGAGTGAGCGAAAGCGTGCATGCGAGAGGTCAATGATGCCGTCCGTGGCTGTAAAATAATATTCATCTTTTTTCTTAGTACGCATTCGCATAACCAAATAATAATATACTTTAGTTAACCAATTTACTTTACCAAGTTGTTGCTTATTCAAACCATACAATAACAGATTAATCTCTTAAACTGAATGCGTGAAGTGATTTGATTTGTTCTTTTCCTGTGACATTTCGATGCAATCATGTGGAGACTGGGGAGATTGCCGAAGTTAAAAGAAAAAAAATATAATTTAGGAACAATAAAGAAGGATGTAAGCATAGGAGTTTGCTTCTATTTTCTTTGAAGTTCACTCAAAATTTCAGCTTCATGTGTTACATATCTTGAATTCTTTGATATCAGATATGAAAATAAATGATTTCTACATAATATAAGTATGAAATCCAAAAGCTTTAAGTATGTAAGATGTAAACAAATTTCGGTATTTTCTTGAATTTACAATAGCTTTAAAGATTGTATCTAGCTAGAAATACTTTTGAATACATCTCCAATCAAATAAATTTTAATAAAATTTCTCTTTTCCTACTTCTAAATAAAATATTTAAACAAAACAAAACCTCAACACTCCCAAAGTTTCTTGGAATTTCTATGTGCACGGTTGCTAATTAAGCAAACTACACAAACTACAAAAGATTTATACAAAATTGAGTGAGTTGAAGCAGTCCTCGGTTTCAGTTTGTACTTACTATAATACAAAATAGACTATAGCTATTAGTAAAGGATTAATCAGTCTCAGATTCAAGCAGATAACTCAAATTACAGCTTCTTAGTTCCCACTTGAGAGTTGAGACTTGGTTTTCTTGAAGAGGTCATCAAAAGAATTTTTGAGAGGTCTTGAGAAGCATTTTTTTATTGAGATAGATGGGAGAATTATAATACAGTACAAACTTATACATCACCTGAAACTCTGGTCAATAATGAACATAAAATTTAAATTAAGAAGCATCATCTTTAACTTTAATGATAAAGTCTGGGCATTTAGATTTTAGTTAGAGTCCATTCAGTCTATAAAATTTCACAACATCAAATATAAGTTCCATCTGTGACAGAGCATCTCCTTCCCTTAGAATAATAATTCTACGAATGGAAGAGATCCAGTGGTGCTTCATTAACTCAAGAACCAATCACACAAACTTCCCATCAATACTTTTTCGATGAATACCCATTAAATAATACAACTGATAATGTTATATAACAAGCTGCCTCATTTCATCCTATGCCTTACAAACCAACAAAAGCTATACATGCAACTACACAGTACAAGCATCCAAAAAATTAAAAAGTAAGGCAGTCACAACATACCCATCTTGACATACAAACCCACATTATTACATACATACACATCAACATGCCAATCAATCTAAGTTGACCTTCAACAACAGAAACATAAACCACTCACTGAAAGAGAGCCAGCAAGATACGATTTCTGACAATGAACATACGGCAAATAACATGACACCTCAACCTGCAATTTCCTCTTCTTCCTCGTCATATTCCTCGTTGTCAACAGTTGCATCCTGATACTGCTGATATTCTGCCACCAAATCATTCATGTTACTCTCGCCTCGTGAACTCCATCTCATCCATTCCCTCACCAGTGTACCAGTGCAAGAAAGCCTTCCGCCTAAACATAGCTGTAAACTGCTCGCTAACCCGCCTAAACATCTCCTGGATTGAAGTTGAGTTTCCAATGAATGTGGATGCCATTTTGAGACCCTTAGGAGGAATGTCACATACACTAGACTTGACATTATTCGGGATCCACTCAACAAAGTATGAAGAGTTCTTGTTCTGGACATTAATCATTTGTTCGTCTACCTCTTTTGTACTCATCTTACCACGGAACATGGCTGAAGCAGTGAGGTAGCGACCATGACGTGGATCAGCAGCACACATCATGTTCTTGGCATCCCACATCTGTTGGGTTAGTTCAGGGACAGTAAGAGCACGATACTGCTGTGATCCTCTTGATGTCAAGGGTGCAAAACCAACCATGAAGAAATGAAGACGCGGGAATGGGATAAGATTAACAGCAAGCTTCCTAAGGTCAGAGTTCAGCTGCCCAGGGAAACGAAGACAGCAGGTGACACCACTCATAGTAGCAGAGATGAGATGGTTAAGATCACCAACTGAGAACGCATAAAAGAAAAAAGTACAGCACAACGGTCAGCTCCTATGTCTTTCAGACTATCTTAACAAATGGGCCATTAATTACTTTGATAAGATAGAGACGCACAAAATCAGATTATTTTTATCAGAATACTACAATATAGAAGTGATTATTATTTTACGAAAGAGTACATGAAGTATAAATGTCATGTTCTTCTTCATTTGAAGGCAAAAAGAAAAAGGTAGGCACTAGGCATGTAGGACTAGAGAAAGAACAGCAAGATAGAGACTTCACACCAACCACTTTTCAGTAGCTACCTGAAGAGAAAAAGACTAACAAGCAGCATTTTCATATATGAATAGGACTATTGAACTCACTTGAGAACCACATATTTAATTAAAGGATGAAAATGCTTAATCCAATCATGTACATGAGATTTTGAATAGCCAGAAAAACACGTTATAAAGTTATCAACAACTCCGCTTTAGCTGCCCTGGAAGAGAACTGAAAATTTTCAATTAACTCAATAGAAATGAGAATGAAATTCTTGACTTACAAGTTGGGGTAGCAAGCTTGAGAGTCCGGAAACAAATATCATAAAGAGCTTCATTATCCAGCACCATACATTCATCAGCATTCTCAACAAGCTGATGAACAGAGAGGGTGGCATTGTATGGCTCAACAACTGTGTCAGATACCTTGGGTGAAGGAAAGACTGAAAATGTTAGCATCATGCGATCAGGATACTCCTCCCTGATTTTCGATATAAGAAGGGTTCCCATGCCAGAACCAGTTCCTCCACCCAAAGAATGACATACTTGAAATCCTGTAGAAAAATTAACAAGTCAGATTTGAAACAGACGGAATCCTAGTATATTGCATTAGATTGGAGAAAAAGCCACAAGATTGACAAAAGCCCACAAACTCTAAGAACGAAAATGTGAAAGAACATAATTTTCTTGTCAAAGTATCCAAAAAAAATAAAGAAACCAGAGCGACAATTAAATTACAAGACAAAAATTTGACAAAAGGACAAAGCAGCTGCTATTTTAAAAAGAGAACTACATATTTTAGCCAAAATATTTGTTAGATAGCATTAACCAATAAAAAACTTTAGGCCTAACCAAATCCTGCTATATATTTCAACAACTTCCCATTCCAGTACCGGATTCATACGAAAAAAAAATGTCTAAACCCCAAAGAAATCCACATCACAACATAAGAGTAAGCGCATTTCACAATGCATCAGGGATGTTTCAAGTTTTACTTTCAATCAAAAAACAGCTGACTAAAACAAAAAGGAATCCATTTGCAAAGTGTAGCTAGCTTCATCTACGACAAATTTCAAGGCAAAAATACAGTGACAAAAACTAACCAATATGTAACAAAATTTTCAGATCCAGACAAACTTTAAAATAAACAAATATATCAAAAGAAAACAAAAGAGAAAGCAGACACCACAACCACAACCAGCCAACAAAACTTACACATAACAGACCATGAATCTAATGTCACAGAAATAATTGCAAAAAGAATAAACATTTTCACAATTAAACAAAAAATAACCAAGAAAAGAACTTTTAATTAGAATTTCAACAATCTTAATTCACAAACTTCCATTTCAAAACAAAGAATCTCAAATTTCAAGATCAAGCAAACCACAAAACAAAGTTCAAAAAACAAGCCAAGCCCACATAGACCCAATGAACAGTTTAAATTACCCTGCAAGCAATCACAATTCTCAGCTTCTTTTCTGACAACATCAAGAACAGAATCAATCAACTCAGCGCCTTCAGTGTAATGACCCTTAGCCCAATTATTCCCAGCACCCGACTGCCCAAAAACAAAGTTATCCGGGCGAAAGATTTGACCAAACGGCCCGGATCTGAGGGAGTCCATAGTACCCGGCTCCAGATCCATGAGAACCGCTCTGGGAACGTACCGGCCCCCACTGGCTTCGTTATAATAAACGTTAATCCGTTCAAGCTGAAGATCGGAGTCGCCACTGTATTTCCCGGTTTGGTCAATCCCATGTTCGTCGCAGATGACTTCCCAAAACTTGGCTCCGATTTGGTTGCCGCATTGACCGCCCTGGATGTGGAGGATTTCTCTCATGGTGGTTTTATTGGTGTAGGTGGGTGTTTGGTTCTCGGGAAAATTTGGAGGCAAGTAGGAATGGGAGGAGAGGGAGAGTGAGGATAGGCAGGTGTCGGGAGACTTATTATTTGTTTAATTAACTAATTATAATTGTTTATATATAAAGGTAGGATTTTGGGGATTGGGTTTATATTTAGTTCAAGTACGAGTTGTTGTAACAGATTTCTCGAAACTAACAGAACTTAAGATAACACCTGAGATTTGTCTGTAAATATTTGGAAAGTCAAAAGTCAACCTGGTTTATCATTTATCTTGGGTAATTATGCGTTAATCATACCCTTGATCAGATTAAGGTTTCTAAATTCAATTTAAATGATAATTTTTATAGTTCTTATCAAATAGACCTTAAAGGTTTAGTAAATTGCATTATTGATACTTCTTCACCCTTATTTCGTAAATTTGATCCTATAAGAAAGTTCAGGGTTAAATGTAACTTTGATTTTATATATATATATAAAAAAAATAAGTGTTTTATAAACCTAACAGCAATGTAATAAAATTAAGAGTGAATGACTTTTTCCCACCCAAAAAATGACTAAATGACACTTTACCGGCCTCAAACTTTTAAAATATTACTTTCCCAGCCAAAACACAAATTTTGTTAATAATTTCCTTTAAATATATTAATATTGATTGCAAAAACAAAAATACCCCCAACACATTTTAATCCCTAATCGCTAGCCACCGCAAATCAAACTTTTGCGCATGATTCTAGTCCCTAGTTAGTAAAAACGAGTACGGGAAAAAAACAGTATGGGAATTTTACGAGTATGATACGGTAAATGGTGAAAAATACATTTGTAAAAATTCGGCCATAAAATTCGAATACGGGATAAATACGGTACGGATATATACGGGTTTAATACGATACATTTTCAATAATACGTTTTAAAAAATATGATAATATTAATCATAATTTTAGCACTTTTCATGGATCACCTTGTTAAAATCAATATAACATTTCAAATACAAAGTATTCAATTAACTAATAATCATTAGATCTAATAATATAACACAAATACACAATATATAATTGTATCTATGCAATCTGATTTCTCAATCTCCTTTCCTATTAGGCCATAAATTTGGTCACGTTAAAAAACTCGGCCGAATTATACGCGAATTATACGGTTGCGATATAAAATTCTCGTATTATTCAGTTACACTAATAAAATACGATAATTCGCGTATAATACACGAATTATACGGCTGAGTGTATAATTCGCGTTTTATATGCGAATTTACTAACTAGGTTCTAGTCTACTCTAACCACCACAATCCGACTTTCTACCACCAAATGAATCTCCGATCATCCCTCTTCAATAGCCCTAACAATCTGGACCTTGATAGCTCTCCAATAGTTAGCGACCATGTTCAGTTCTTTTATTGAATGTTCGACGTCTGATGAATGATGAACAACTAAGGTCTAGGATGATGGGCATTTTAGAGAGGAGGTGTTGTTGATACTACAGGTGGCTTTCAAGTGGAATTTTCAGCAACCAAATCGGCCAGAATTTGGCCTGGAAGCTCAACAGTCGTGCGAACAAAAAACTAGCGGTTGTCGGCGATTGGTGTGCTCGGTGTGGTGGGAAAATGAGGGGTTTTTATGTGTGAAGATGGGAAAGCTAAGGGTAGAGTCTACGCTGATCAATGACGCCGGTATTGTGTCGAACTACCTGAACTAGGCTAAACCAACAGCTAGGGTTTGGGAAAGTATCTTGCCAAAAAGGAAATATGACCATTTTGCCCTTACTTTTAACTGGATTTTTACCATTCTACCCTTCTTCACAATAAAAATTACTAACAAATTTCTGTTTTGGGTGGAAAAGTGATATTTTACAAGGCTAAGGGTGAGAAAGTGTCATTCAGCGATTTTTTGGGTGGGAAAAAGTTGTTAACTCTAAAATTAATGTAAAAGAATATAAGTGATAAAGTTTATAAACTTTAAGTATCTATTTAATAAAAATGTAAAAGTCATTTTACGAATGATAAATTTGAAAATGTAAGGGTAGTTTATTTTTATTTTTTATGAGAATGGTTCTATATATCGTTTCTAGAACTTTATTGAAATGTACTTACAAAGCGACCCTCCATAATTATTAAAAATAAATAAAAAAAATTGACAAATCTACTCTTTAAATTACAAAAATCTTTAAAAAATTGTTAAATCTCAAGGGATCTAATGAATTTAAAAAACTATTAAATATTTCCTATATGAGAGGTTTTTTATATTTGTAGGAGTCCTTTTTAGATATTCGTATGATCTTTTTTTGGGTTTTTTGTATTCTTAAAAGAGTTTTTTTGGTAAATTCAAGGGGCAGTTAATAAGGTGAGCATGGGTAGCGGGTAGAACCGGTCAGTAGAACCGGAATTAGAACTAGAACCTACCTGGAACTGACACTGTGCGGGTGGGTTCCGGTTCCATTTTTTTGGAACCTATACTGTGCGATTCTGGTTCCGGTTCCTACATGTGGAGGAACCGAAACCGGAACTAGAACCTGAAAAAAAGAACCTATAATAGGTACCTGGCTTGGAACTTGCAACGGGTATCCTGTTTTGAAGCCTGGGTTTAAATAAATATCTGTGAAGAATGGGGGGTCAATTATACTTTTACAAATAAAAAAATTTAAAATGGCAAAAGTTAAATTTTTACAATAACCTAATTAAATAAATATACAATTATACTTATTTCATATAAACTACACCATATAAAAAACTTTAATATATTATAATATATTAATATTAAAGTTTTGATTAATTAAGTGTATACTTAGAATTAAGACCAATTAAAAGTGTTTTAATGTTATTAAAAGAATTATTTTTGAATAAAATAGTATATTTGATTGAATAATAATATAATATAATATTTAATTATTTACTTAAATTATCAAGTTTTAAGTATATCATTACATTATAGTTAAATGATTACTTAATTAATTATAAGTTTATAACATTACATTAGTAATTTAGTACATTACTTAATTAAATAATTAAAAATTTAATTAATTATAACATTAGATTATAGATTTATATTATAATTACTTACTTAATTATAGCATTATATTATAAACAAATGATTATTTAATTAATTATAAGATTTTATTATAAACATTAGTACAATACTTAATTAAATGACTAGAAATTTAATTAATTATAATATTGCATTAAAGATTTATAGTATGATTACTCAATTCATTATAACATTAAATTATAGTATAATAACATAATTAAATGATTACTTAATTAATTATGACATTATATTATAATCATTGGTAATTTACTACATTAATAGTTTAATACAATACTTAATTAAATGATTAGAAATTTAATTAATTATAACATTACATTATAAATTTATAATATGATTATTTAATTAATTATAACATTACGTTATAAACAAATGATTACTTAATTAAATAATTACTTAATTAATTATAACATTCTATTATAAACATTAGTACAATACTTAATTAAAAGATTAGAAATTTAATTAATTAAAACATTACATTATAATTAAATAATTACTTAATTAATTATAACATTCTATTATAAACATTAGTACAATACTTAATTAAATTATTAGAAATTTAATTAATTATAATATTATATTAAAGATTTATGTTATGATTACTTAATTCATTATAACATTACATTATAGTTTGATCATGTAATTAATTATAACATTACATTTACATGATTACTTAATTAATTATGACATTATATTATAAACATTAGTAATTTCCCATATTAGCACAATACTTAATTAAATGATTAGAAATTTAATTAATTATAGCATTACATTATAAATTTATAGTATGATTACTTAATTAATTATAACATTATGTTAATTATAACATTCTATTATAAACATTAGTATAATACTTAATTAAATGATTAGAAATTTAATTAATTAAAATATTACATTATAATTAAATAATTACTTAATTAATTATAACATATCATTATATTATAATCACTTAATTAATCATAACATTACATAGTTAAATGATTACTTGATTAATTATAAATTTATAACATTACATTATAAACATTAGTAATTACTATATTAGTACATTACTTAATTGAATGATTAAAAATTTAATTAATTATAACATTACATTATAGATTTATACTATGATTACTTAATTGATTATAATATTCCATTATAAACATTAGTACAATACTTAATTAAATGATTAGAAATTTGATTAATTATAATATTAAATTATATATTTATAGTATGATTGTTTAATTAATTGTTTGTGTTTTGGTTTTGATTGAGGAGTTTTATGTTAATTGTGATGAATTGATTGAATTCAAGCATTGCCTAAAGATTAAAGGATTTATAAGTCACATTAGACACAAATGAATGAGTAATCAAAATTTATTAGGGGTGTATTTGTAAACTTTTAAGGTATTTTTGTTATTTTTTAAATTAATAGGGGGGTAATTGATTTTTTATAGGGTACTTGGGAAAGGAACCAGAACCTGCATTTTAGGTTCCGGTTCCTTGAATTTAAGAACATGCACTATGCGATTCCAGTTCCGATTCCTTTTTTTGGGAACCTGCACTGTGCGGTTCCGGTTCCCCCGAAAAATGCAAGGTACCCATAACCGCTCACCCTTAGCACGGTTCCAGTTCCGATTCCTTTTTTTGGGAACCTGCACTGTGCGGTTCCGGTTCCCCCGAAAAATGCAAGGTACCCATAACCGCTCACCCTTAGCATTTAATAGTTTTCAAAAAAAATTGGGACTTAAGAATTAGTATCTCCCACAGATGGATGAGATTAACCCAACACTCAGCAGTGGAGCATAATGAAGGCTAGGCCAACTGGCCAGGCCAAGCTGTAGCGAGGCCGGGTTTTTAAAATTTATAAAACTTATGACAAATATACCTTAGTATTTAATGCCCCGATTATTTGTACTATTACATTTTCCCCCCTACTTACTAGTTTCACATTTTTGTATTATCTTTCAACATTTTTATCTTTCCTTCTCACTTTCTTTCTCTTTCATATGGGAAATACTTCTCAACTTAGTATCCCAAGTTTTATATTTTCAATTGATATTACACCTGTTATGCTTGAAAAAGTAGGGCT